GAAAGATTAGAAAAACTGGAGAAAGTAAAATGTGACAAATTAATATATAAATTACCAGCATTAAATTTGTGTAGTTATAGTTTGTTCTGAATTAATAATATTAAACGTTATTAACATTATTAATTAAAAAAATATGAATAAAATTTACTAATAAAACTTTGTCTTTCATCATTGATGACTTTAATAGTTATTTTTTTCACTTGTAATGAAATAAAATTAACCATATTACGGCTATACATTAAATTAGTTTCATAAAGGTCTTTATTAAGAAAATAATAAATATCAAATAAATTATTTGATGTTAAAGTACGATTACGAACATGATTCAAACAAGTAAATGAGGTAGATGTAGCTAATATATCATATTCAATTAATAATTTTAATGGTTTATGTTTTTGATGTAATTTATCTAACTCACTTAAGTTAAAAATATATGATATGCCGTTATTGATAATATTTTTCATATTGATATTATCAATTTCAAAATATTGTGAATTCTTTAGTTTGTAAGACTTATACACTGGTTTAAATTTATTAATATAATTTTAAATAATATTATTTTTCTTTATTTTTAATAATCTAACATCACCTAAATTATAAGATAATACAAGGTTTTTAATGTCTAATGGTAAATCATAAAATATCATATAATATTAATATATTTACTTATTTAATTAGTAATTTTCAAATAACGTGAGAAGTTTTTCATAAAGATACGGTTAGGGTCTTTTTGGAGAAGGTTAATATATAAAAAGCTATGCGGTTCATCAGTTGCAGTCTCATATATTTTATAAATTAGTTTCTTGCTTTCTAGTAAATTATCACTTCTAACAATTGCTGATAATTCATCTTGTAATATTTCTATCTCTTTGAAGTTTCTAACTTTATAATAAAACAAATGACTTATATTTACTCTAATAATTGGTGGGACACTTGATGATTTCTGAAGACTGACAAGCGTTGATATTCCACTATGACGTCCCCTACAGAATAAAGAATTTAACAATTTGTTATTTCTTGTTATTGCTGGATTATCAGATACATCATCCAATATAACTAATATATTAAATAACTTCTTCATTCCTTGTTTTTTCTGATATTCAATTATTTTATTTTGAGTTTCTATAACTCTTTCTAAATCTTCAACATTGAACTCATCCCACCAACACGGTTCTTTATCAGTATCTACTTTCAAACCTTCTTTAATGTTTTTTTTTGACAGGCAACCAAATACTATCCAAATTTACAGATGGGGACCAGATAAAAATTCTTTCGTATGCACCTCTATAAATATCAAGTATCATTGATACAAGTAGGGTGCTCTTTCCAGAACCAGACGGCTACAATCATAGCTCTCATAGGCAATTTAGGGACAACCTCGTGCTTACTTTGTTTAAAGTCATATTTGATTTCATCAATTGGTTTTACATCAGGCATAATAAAAATAATATTATAAATACTTATAAAATAAAAAATATAATATAATTATATCATAATGGCTATAGAATCTATTAATTTAAGTGAAGTGGCTAGTATTCGGAGGATATATAAATTTGGTGATATCTTAGTTCCAGATACTGAACAAATATATTATGATACAATGTTATACTTTTTATCTGCAATTAAAAAACAAAATATCGTAGTATCCAAGTCCTCAATTGAAAATGACAATAACCTAGATTTTAATTTTAGAAAGTTAGTAAATTTTATGAAAGATTATCCCGATATGTATACAAATGAAATGATAAGTAGTGTAGAAGAAGTTATTGATATTAATATTAAAGATGTTAGTCTATCAACTGCAATAAAACTTACTAAAGAAAATAGTTTAAATACATATTCTATTTAATATTAATGGAACATCTTTTTTATGATATGCTGGCAGTGAATATCATAAAAATGGAACAGGCTTTCCATTGTTTTCAATCAATAAGCATTGAAGCTAATTAGTTTGATGCATTGTAAAGAAAACCCCAGTGCTGAGCCCCACCAACATTCTATTCTGCATGAAAATAATAAGATTAAATAACTATTTTATCTTATTATTTATATGAATAGGAGTTATTCAGATTATATTGATATAATAAATGAAGTAGAAAATATAGAACGGGTTGTTATAACTAATAATAGATTCAAAAAAATATGTTATTTTATTTTAGAATTAATTAAGTTTGTGATACAATATATCAAAAATAAAAATGTGAATATTAATATAAATGCCTCCAAAGAAGAAGCAAGAGAAACAAAAAGAGATTGAATGTGTCAAATGCGATAAATGCGGTCAAGCAATTAAACAACTAAATGAATTAGAGTTAGATAAAGAACATGTCAAAGTTAAATGTTGGCCGTGTTCATGTGGTCGAAACATGCATACAGTTCATACAGTAAAAAAGAAAGATGCTGACGGTAGCACAGTTGAAGAAAGTTGGGTAGAAAACTTCAAAAGTGGATTTGGTAGGTTATTTACACCTGAGAAAGAATGATGAAAAAATAATAGTTAAAATTATTTCTATTATTATTTATAATGCAAGATGTTATAAATAATATTATTAAATTCATTGATGTAAAAGAATTGAAATTAAATAATTTTATTGAAGAATATAACGAAAATGATATATTAATTAATTTTGTTAATGACTTTAGAAATAGTAAAATTGATTTTAACATGTTTTATAATTCTATTAATTATGCTGATTTATTTGAACAATCAGATTTAAAATTCTATTGTAAAAGAATATATTCATATACTTTAAGATTTATTGCTAATTATGATAATAAAAATGCTATTCAGTTTTATGAAATTACATTGAGAAAAATGAATAATATTTACAAAAATAGTAACATTAATGTTGTTAATGTGTTTGAATGTATTAAATGTTTAATAATTTATATTACAGATAATATTGAAAAGTTTCATAAATATTCAAAATTTAGAAAAACTATTATTTGTAATTTAATTGGTAAATTGAATAATAATTTAACGAGTTACACAATAACTAATTTTGAATTGACTTATAATGATATATGATTTTGTAAAATAAAAGTTTAGTTTTAAAAGTTTTATTTTATAATATAATATATATATTTACATGGATGAAGGATTAGAAAAGATTGTTAAAAAACTGAACAAGGTTTTAGAACAGAATAAGAATATTTTAGAAATCTTGCAAGAAATGGAAAAGAAGAAACCTTTAACAAACAGTTATCAAAGTAAAGAAGTAGATAGAACCAATGGTGAATATAAAAATAAAAGAAATATTTATTTAAACAAACTTAATAACAAAGAAATTAAAGAACCGAAGGCTTCAACTATGACATTTTATCAAATTGACTATGATGAAGATACGGGGGTTTATTCATAGATAATAATCCAACGACAAAACAGCATGTTTTTCTTGAAATTAGGTGGGGTTCCCCCTTTTTTGGGGCGACTGTTCCCCCTTTTTTGGGGCGACTGTTCCCCCTTTTTTGGGGCGATTGTTCCCCCTTTTTTGGGCGACTGTTGTTGATGTTTTGGAGCGGTTTTTCACCAAATTAGGCATTGTTCCCCCTTTTTTGGGGCGACTGTTCCCCCTTTTTTGGGGCGACTGTTCCCCCTTTTTTGGGGCGACTGGCCCCCTTTTTTGGGGCGACTGAAGACTTTTTTGGGGCGCTTTTTTGGGGCGACTGTTCCCCCTTTTTTGGGGCGACTGTTCCCCCTTTTTTGGGGCGACTGTTCCCCCTTTTTTGGGGCGACTGTTCCCCCTTTTTTGGGGCGACTGTTCCCCCTTAGTTAACTGTTCCCCCTTTTTTGGGGCGACTGTTCCCCCTTTTTTGACTGTTCCCCCTTTTTTGGGGCGACTCATAATATAATTAACATGTAAAATCTTATATGTTATAATTATACTAAACTTATGGTTTGTTTCTTAATTTTACTTAATGCCTTAAAAATGACTTAAAGAAATAGTGCCTGAATATAATAAGAGGAAAATGAACGGTGATAAAATCAATAATTATATCAATAAAAAATGCTATGATTGTTGTCACTTCAAAAAAGAAAATATGGAATTGTATAAATTGAATTTACCTAATGAAACAGTGAATAATATTATTAATTATTCAATGGATGAAAAAGACGAATGTGAAAATTGTCAGGAATGGAGAGATAATCAATTTTTAATCAAATGTTTGTTGAGAATAAAAGGAAGACATAATAGAAATGTAGAAGATGAGATTTTAATATTTCTAACTGTAAATAAAATACCACCTTATGATTATGTTAAACAGTTTCTTAAAATCAGTAAGAAAAAATATGAAATGATTTATGATATATTATGGATGTTGGGCTATAGTCAAGAGAAAGGACAAAATGTTAAAGAAAATATCAAATTATTTATTGAAAGTAAAAAGTTTAATATTCAAAATACATTGAGAGATATTAATATTATTTTTAGAATGATGTATGAAAGAAGAAAGATTTGTCAATTAAATTATTATCCTGTACTGAAATTATAATCATACTATAATAATAACATGTAAAATTTTATATGTTATAATTATACTGTACTTATAGTTTGTAAAGATTGAAATATTTTATTTTTTCTTGATTTGGCTATCTCTTTCAAAGTGCGTTGTTTGAACTTGGTATGCTCTTTTGATTTTTTCGTGCTTTGGCTGTTTGTATTTTATTTTGTTTGATACTCTTCTGATATTTTTTGTTGGTATGTTGCTTTGTTTTTGTTGATGTGTGTTTTTGAGTTTGTGTTCTTTGATGGTTTTTATTTTTGTTGTTTTGTTGGTATGCTTGTTTGAATTATTTAATGTGTTATGCTTTGATTAAATATTTTGTTGGGGGTTGTTCTGGTTTTTGAGTTGCTTGGTGGTTCTTATCTTGTTTTCTGTGAATTTTGCTGATTTGTGTTTATGCTGTTTGATTATTTGGTTTTATTCTTAGAAGTGCCGTTTTATGTATTTTTCCCCCACCCCACCCCCATCCCCACCCCACCCCACCCAACCCCCACCATCCGCAAATATCAGCGCCGCGGCTCGACGCCGCGACTCGCGACATCCGAGGCGCTGCGACCCCAAAGCCGCCGCAGTGGAAGCGCGGGCGCCAGGGGAAGCTGCGCTGAAGCTCCGGCGTGTCGCCTCAGATGGGCGGAACGCGGTGGGCTTTTCCCTCTCTGTGGGAACTGCTTACATTGATGCGTGCAGAAATCTTATTGCAAGAAAAAGGACTTACATGCATATATGCATGCAATGGTTCACATTGTGCGTGATGTGTGTATATATATATATATTGTTTATTCATTTACGAATTTGTTCATATATTCATTGATTTACTTATTTGCTTGTTTATGTACATTATATACTGCTGCCGCCTTCGAACACCTACCGGGACATCCTTTGGCGAAGTTAGCAAACAGATCCTTCCAAATGGCGGCACGCGATTCACTAGAAGTATGTCTACAGTATGACCTTTCCCGGAAGAGACCATGTTGGTGCCGGAGAGGTTTTGTTTCAAGAAATGTCTAGGGTACAACACTGCTGTACCCTCGGCCAACAACTGTCCTGCTCGTGTTGGACAGAAGTGTCCTGAATACTCGGCCCTGGTAGTCTATCAAACAACCCAAAACAACCAGTGCTATCGATTTCAACCAAAACAACCCAAACGGAGACCTACTTCAAGGGTGATTTTTTTTTAAATAACCATGGCTATTAATACCCACTTACCCGGCCCCTTTAAGTGTGGTGCTGGAGGTCGGAAACCTTTCCTGGCTCGTGACCACTCCGCCACAGAGTTTTTGGAGACATTGCCACTTCGTGCCGTGAGTTGGCAAGGACAGCTCGTCTCACTTGAGTGGGTGGGCCAAAACAGTCTCAACTGTTTTTTATCCCTGAAATGGTCATTCCCAAAAATGGTTGACGTTGGAAGGGGAGCAAAAATTGCAGTTAAGTGGGGATTTCCCACTAAACCACAATAAACAAAAATGTAAAATGCTTCCCAGCAACATGAAAAGGACATAAATACGGCCCAGGAACTCCGGCAGTGAGTCTTCATAGCTGTTTGTCGGTTTTGCTTGATGATTTTGAGGTGGCGAAGTTTCCATGCGTTCCCACGAGGCTCTGATGCTCATGCTGCCAGAAACACACAGATGCCGCGGCCACAGTTCGGGGGACGTTGACAACCACAGCCAAATGGATGAGGGACCCACTCCGCGCTCGTTGCGAGCGCTCGTTGCGAGCGGAGGCGAGGCGCCGCAGTGCTGGAGCCCCAGAGGGCCCACGACCAAAACGTCCAAGGCCTCGAAGTCCACGCGCTCCCAGTCGGGCCTCGGCTCTCGGGTGAGAGACGTCGGGGATCCGGGCTTGAAATGGCGAGGGCTCGTGGTTTTGGGGGACAGGGGTCTCGTCGTTCCTTTACCGCAACAAGGAACACCTCGAAAAAGACACACACACACACACACCCATGCGTCACAACATGGATTTGGAGCCCAAAAATGGAGCTCGGCGTTCCTCCTAGTTTCCCTTCAAGCATACCGAAGGGTTGCCTCCAAAGGATTTGAACCCCAAGCCCTCGAGGGCTAGGGCCTGTGAGGAGCGGGGAGTGTCCGGTAAGAAGCCGATTCTATGTAGCGGAGATCAGGATTGCAGAAGTTGCCTTTCCACTTCCGTGATACCGTGGATGGGGGCGAAATCCAGAAATCGCGAAATCGCACCACCGTTCAGAAACCCTGGAATGATTCGATTCCCCTGTAAATACCAACAAAACAATGGTTTCAACCATGGTTTCCAAGCGGGGCAGGATTTCGTCCATCCACAGTACTGGCAGACCTTTCCAACGACTCGCTCTTTGCCCGGAAAAGTCTCCCAAGTATCGCACAGGTGGGACCTGCACCCCCCCTTTCTCCCAGAGCCCTGGTTCAACTCTGCTCCACTGGGCGTGGGGAAGTTGGCAGGACATTGAGCGAGAGAGAGAGAGAGAGAGAGCCCCCCGTGTCCCAAAATTAACCCCTTGGAGGAAATGTGGGTCTGAACTTTACTGGTCTACCCAATGGTGCAACAATCACTTCTGAGAGGGTTCCTCAGTTAAATTCACGGCCACATTGGAAATCTTGGAGTTATACCGTGCAAAGTAAATGGTTTCCCTGAAGGGAATGACCCCCGTAAATAATCCCTTGGGGAATTCCCAAATGCATTCCCCACACCCGGAACGGTCATTCCCTACATGTCGCACCAGCAAGTAATTGAAGGAAGCGCGAAAGGGCTGAAAATGGTCCAAGCAAACTATGGCCTTAAAGAAAGCCCGAGCACCTGTGTCAAGAAGCGGCAAGGGTGGCATACTTGGATGTTCAACCAACTTAGCATGTTAAAACCATGCGTAAAACGGCAAAAAGCACAAAGCTGACTGGAATACACCGGCTTGGTAAGTAAAAGCCATGGGCCTAACGGCAAAAAAACACTGACTGGACGAATTCCAATCACGGAATTCACAATCGACCTCAGCGCCGCAGAACAGACATCTCTCAAACAAATGCTCACTCCAAGTTGAAATCGCGATTACACCGCCGACACAAGTCCATCACAAATCAAATGTATGTGTGTGTGTGTGTGTGTCCGTTTGTCAAAAGGGTACCCACGTCTGCTTGGGAGAAGGACACCCCCCCACCCCCCCATCCCATCCCCCGCACCAAAACAGGGGTCACTGGATGTGGGAGGAGAACCTCAAAGGATATGCCGCCATTGGCTGACTTGAGTCACAATCAAAACCTGGTACAAAAAATGCTGAACCCAGAACCGTGTAAAGAACTAGAAAGGCGGATATCCGCAACCATTTGCCGGCTGGGACTGGCCCTTACTCACCTAACCATCTACCCGGGTTTTGAGGACGGTGGCTGACTTGGGGAACCCACCCCACGAGTCCCAACGGGGACCCAACGGCTCCGGATCCGCGAAGTAGACCCAGCCCACCTCCGCTTCACGGCCCGTGGCCCGTCTCACGGCCCGTTTTGGGAGGGACTGGGGTCCTTTTTGGTGGGCTTCAAAGAAAAAAGTTGAGGGTACCTGTTTGTGCTTGTAGGTACAGTAGCCTGTCTTTTTTGGCGGTTTTAAAGGGAAGCCAGAAGAACACCACTTTTAGCGTGTTTTTCTCCTTATAAATCAAACTAGCACTTGATCATGAAAGAATCATGCGTGCAGTTGCTCGTTTAGCCCTCCATAGTACTGACCAGGTGTTGCCCTGACAAGCATGATAAGGTTGGCGCAGGCGGCCCGATTTCCTCGAACCTTTCGGAAATGGCGGTGTTCCTCTTGGTTTCCCTCTAAAACCACCAGAAAATGAGTGCTCTCCAAAAAAAGACACCCAAACGGACCTCTGGAGCGCTCGTTCTGACCCCGGGCCGGAAAGGAATGCCCACACCTCCGATTTTCTTAGACCAGCCGCGTGAAAAGGGGCGCTGACTTTCTTCTCTTTCCGGAAAGAAAACGCCCTGAAGTCTGGGGTTTAGAGGTTGGTTCCCCTGAACTGGACACCTAAAGGTGGAAGCCAAGGGCCCACATTTCCCCCCCATTGACCACAGCCAAATCTTCCCCTCCCATGTCTCCTTCCCATCTCCTTCCCATCTCCTTCCCCATTCCCCGCCCCCCCCCCCCCAAAAAAAAAAGGAGCCCCCAGTTTTAGAGAACCGGCATCTCGGGACCTTTGGAGCGGCTAGATAGCTGGATTGGCAAAGGGCATCCTCCCTGGCGCAGTGTCTGGGCCAAGGGCGCTTGGATGTTCAACCTAGCAAGTAGGTGATCACCGTGGCTATAGAGCGACCAACCCCAGTGACCCCAGTTCTAACCATGATAATCTTATCTGCTTGCCTGACATTGGTTGAACATCCAAGCACCCTTGTCACTCCAGATACTCAAAAGCATAGGTGCCTCAACCAGCGGAACCCATCTAATTTTCACCAAACTAACCCATCTAGCAGTGGAACCCATCTATTTGACCCATCCAAAGCACACCTATGGAAGGATCCGAGTCCCTCCCTTGAGCGCGCCGCCGCCGATGCCGCGGTCGCAGCGGGCACGTGAAGGGGCGCCAGCAGCGCCAAGAGCGGAAGTGCGGCCATGGCGGTGTTTTGGGGGCGGGGTCAAATCGAGTGGGGTGGTCTCACGGAAGAAAGCGGACATGAGTGGCTTGGTATTTAAACAAAGAAAACACATTTCTTGAACAAAAAGCAAGAATGCAAGTGACGATGTTGTCTCCAAAACCCGAAACAAAAAGAGAAAACCAAACCCAGCCTGTCATCTTCCAAAGGCTCGTTTCGAGCATCTGAGACTCACATCCAGTGCCAGTGGATTGCAACAGTGAAAGTTCAACTTGGAGAGTGGGCCAAAACCCAAACCCCAGCGCCAAGCTGCTCGGAAGGTGTTCCGATCGAAGCTTTCCGGGAGAAAAGGGGGGGCTGAGGGCTGAGTTTGTTTCTTGTAAAAAGGTTCAAACGGGTATGGATCAAAATTAAGTCACCAGGACGCAGGTTTTAGTCCATGTTTCCGTTTACCAGGGTTCCATTTTGGGTACCTATTTTTGACCCACAGCCAAATGTCGGTTTTGTGGTCTACAGCAGTTCCTGGACAACGACAACAAGTACAAGTTACAACCCCCCATCTACTGAGAGACATCAGGCCTCAGACCATGTGAGCCGTGCATAAGTGCCTAGATCCTCCAGTAGAGAGGTGCGAATAAGGGTACCAACTGTTTGCTGTGGTCTATTTTAGTAGGGGAACCCTCCCCAAAAAAAGGGTGAGAAAGGGCACTACTGGGGGACCTAGGTGCTTAAAAGCAACCGTTCTGGTTGAAACATCACACACTTAGCTATGCCTCTAATGAGATCCATTCAAACGCCCGCTAATTTTATTGATCCGGGATCAACGTTCGCCTCCGCCAAAGATCAAGAAGCACGACGAGAACGGTCTCCTCATCCTTCATTGGTGGGTTTTCTGATGAGAGTTGAAAAATACGCAAGCCATCCTTTGCTTTGGGTTGGTTCGGATTGGTTTGGATGGGCTCGACCTCCCAAAATGGGAAGAAAAAAACGGGCACCTCCGTTTCACCAGGTTTCGATCTCCGAGCCTCATTTCAGCTGCGTTCATCTCAGCTCAGCCATAAACCAATTGCCCACATTGCCCACGGTCAAGCGGCATGGCTCGTCAAAATCGTGGTGCTCGCCCCCCCCCCCTAGCCAAAACTAGAGGCCTCGGTTTTCCTTTTGGTCTCAGGCTAAAGGTCAACCTGAAAAGGGTACCCCGAGACAAAACCACTGAGTCTTAATGTAAGCCCGGTGTTAAAATGGTCTACCCAGAACGATGTAAGGAATTAAAAAGGCAGCTGCACCCATTTATGATGGGGACTATCCCTTACTAATCTTCATCTACCCGGGGGTTGATTATGGCTCAACTGGCAAACGATAATTTGGTGAGTGTGACCCATGTCATCCCCAACAGATGACAGCAAATATTGAGCGTTGCCCAAATCACCGTCATAGAAACCTACAGTTACAGGAAATTATGCAGGAATGTGATCCACCAAACACCCACCAAAAGCAATGGTGTTGGCAGGTTTGGGCTAAATTATTGTGTGGCTCAATTCTTACATCAAAGGACCCGAAAGACATGGACCGTTGACTAGACATACACGGGATCTGGATCACCCAAAGGGCAAAGCGTCTATTCACTTGGTCAGTAGCTATTGCTCCAAGTGCAAAAAGTTTGACTTCTTGTGTTGGGAGAGACACATGTTCCCAACCAGTTAACGGCCAAAGATCCAAACAAATAGAAAACAACAAGAGGATTCTCACCGTATGGGCCTCGGGAAACAAGGGCACCTGGTGGAAACCATACCCTCGCGTTTTCCATACGCCTCTTGTCTTTCTGTGTTCAGAAGGGAGCCTCAAATTGGATGGTGTCCCCTTTCAGCAGCCCCGAACAGAGTATCCGCAAACCATGTGCATGTGTGTATTATATATGTATATGCAAAACCGATACACATGTATAAATCTTGATGTACAGGCATACATAGATCCAAGTTTTCTTGCTTGGTCCGGCATTGGCAACCCTCAAGGCTACAGTAGTGGAAAACGTGGTAGAACATATCTGCAGGGTTACCATGCATAAACAAATATATATATATATAGATATATATGTATAAATATACATATTTATATATATGTATGTTTATTTATTTATGCTTAGATATATATATATATATATATATATTCATATGACTCAAATGACTATATGTTATGCTCGAATAACCCAGCGTTTCGGTTGCCTGATAGCGGCTCGGAGTAACCCACGTCATGTTGGTGTCCCTTTAAATCAAGGTGACGAGTTCCCTCAAAAGTTAACATGTCTGCTGGTTTAAAGGGAAAACAAAGCAACACCAAAAGGGCAAACCACATAGGGTGAGTTTAGTCTGGCAATGAAGGACATAACACGCATATGAAATACATATAGACGCATATATAAATATATATACCGCCTGAAACGAATCTGCCACTTGGCACCCGCGCTCGCGGCACATCATGGGTTTGCCTTTGTGGCACCAAAACATCGAGGGATAGAGGCATCGAGTCGGTAGATCGAGACCGACTCGAGGAAAGACATCCTGCTCGGTATGGGACATTCATTTCAGTGTGTCTCAAACTAGAGGCAAACGGTGGGTTTCCTTTTTGGTGTTCTTTTAAAGCCACAAAACAAACTCACCCAGTTGGATCCTCTTTCTGGTTTCGGCTCGGGAAGCAACCTGAGGCTTAGGAAAGCCAAAAGGAAACCGAAATCCATTTCTGGGCTCTGAGACAATTCGCTTTGGGTTGCTTGCCCTCCAAATACCTTATACTGGTTCCCTTTAAAAACAGCAGAAAGAGGTGGGTCAAACAGTGGCTTAAACATGCTTACCCTGCGAAGCAAGCCCCCTTTTCTCCTCGCACATCGATTTGATCCCTTGCAAAACGCGCCCGATTCGGCGCGGAAGCCGGGTGCGGGTTCCCCACACTTTCCCCCATTACCACCTGGACAAGAAGAATCACAACTCGATTGGGTGGCTTTGAAGCCATGTTTAAAGGGCAAAGCGGAAAGATGAGCCACAACTGGCACAAAAAGTGATGTTTACAGGAAATGCAGGGCCCTAAAATAAGCATCCAAATACTCATCCCTTTTTGGTTTTTGGGGGACATGTTGGGGACCCCTCTCTCGCCGCTGCCGCCTCACTTCCGCGCTTTTCGGCCAATGCGGCGACTCGGGTTGACGGGCGCGCCCATCTTTGGAGCACCTGACGGGGGGGGGGCTGAGCTTTGGGAGGCTCAGTACCCTGAAGCGCGAACAGTCCTTGCAGAAGCCATGTGGCTGGAAATCCCATTGGCTTTTCTCCCGCGCCAAGGTTGCTTTCTTGATACAGATTGGACCCGAAAAAAGGTAAAACACACCTTTGCCTCAGGCGCCGTCTCCTACGTTGGCCAGCCACACGAATGATTGTTCTTGGCGGACTCTCCCAGAAAAATGCCACTGGTGACGCCTCCTCCTTTAGGGCTTTGCATGCTTGAGTCTGCGACATGACATGGTGCGGGTGGCCCGGTTTCGCGGTTCCAGCTTGTGGTTTCCCGGCCTCCCGGTTTCCAGGTTCGCGGTTCTGGTTTCCCGGCTTCGCGGTTTTCTGTTTGGGGGACCGGGATTATTGGGGAGCGTCCCTGGGCTGGTTTCTCGGCTGCGCGTTTCGGATTCGCGGCTTCCCGGTTTGCTGGTTTCCCGGGTTTCCGGTTTCCCGCCCCGCTCTCTGGGTTTTTTCCATTTTCCCGGTTTCTTCCCGGTTTCTCGGTTCCAGCTTTCCAGTTTCCTGCCCTGGTTTTAGCCTGACACTCGAGCGCTTGAGGCGCTTTCCTGACGCAGTGCGGAAAAGTGTGCTGTCAAGCTCATCGGAAAAAGCGAAGTCTGCTTCAGGCGCTCCAGGCACTCCGTCTTCTCCGCGCAAGGAAGCTGTCCTACGCGCACGCATCCACAGCAACAGCGAGTATGTGAACAATCCTGCCCTTCGTCGACCAACATTGCTTGGCACCCAAAGTACATAGTCATTTGATCGAAGGAAACATGACGCAGCGCCCCACGCTGTTCCCTGATCAAAAGGCCTTCTTTACGAGTGGCGCTGGCGTCTGCTCCAGCTGCTCTCTGTCTGCTCCGGATGCACCTGGGCCGGTGCCGGCGAACTGAAGTTGGCTGCACACGCCGCTGCACAAACTGGCCCCTGCCCGCCGCGCACTCACAACTGTCAAAGGCTGACAAGAGCTGGTGAGTGCTCAGAGGGCCATCCTTTGCGAGAAACCCACTCTTCAATGTGAAGAGTCACGATGCCAAGCAAAGGCTAGTGTTGGCCATTGCGAGCTTGTTGTGGTCTTTGACCACCATCCGATTCCCAAAGTCCTTGGACCTGGTGGATGCGTTGACGCCAGACCCTTCTCCGAGGGCGGGGGCGCGTGACACGTGTCTGCCTTCGTCGCACAGGCCCACCACATTTGCGGACATCTGTAGGCCAGTGGCGGGGAGGGAGCCCTTGTCTAGAAAGACAGCCGGCTTTTTTGGATAGTGGCGCCCGCCTTTTTGAAAGCTTTTGAGAAGATTGGCTGGCTCATTTACCTCCTCGAGGCTTCGCCTGCCTCCTCCCGACCTGCCTCCGCTTCTTGCTTGAGTTCATCCAACGTCTGTTCGAGGAGGAACTTCAACGTCGGAGATACTATCGGCAGCACGGTCATGATGCCACCTGCCGCCGTCCAAATTTAGGCCTAGCCACAAATTTGGCGGAACGAGAAAATCCGTGATACACAAGCAAGTACGGGAGCAGGAGGTGCCAAGAACCGGCAGAAACAAAAAAAGCAACTCGAAGGGGCAGCCGGCCTGTTGGGCTAGCTGCTCTGTCATGGCAAAGACCTGTCACAAATTGGCTCGAATCAGGTCGAGGACGCTTGGCCACGTCAGCCAGCATGAAACGTGAGACGGCTGTGGCACGCTGCGAGCTTTTGCGATATATCGCAGCAAGCGCACCGTTGAAGCCATCAGGCGTGCTGCCAAGAAGCGCGCACATCTGCAACGGTTGGCTTCTTCCTCGGCACCACTGCCTGGGCCAGCGC